TTTTATTATTAAAAATTAATTTTAAAAATAATATATAAGTAAAAATAATTATGCATAGATAACTTATAAAACATGTAAAAAAAATTCCAAGCAATTTCAACCTGGGAACAAGTTTTTTGTAGATATATTTATAATTTTATAAAAATTTTATTTTATAAAAAACAATATTATATAAATAATTATTATATATTATATTTGTTTTAATAGTAACTAATTTATGTTATTAATAATTTATAAAATATATAATTTTTATAAATTTAAATGAATTATACAATATATATGTATATATGCCACGTCATATAACAAACTCTTTATCTTCTTTCAAGATTACATATCATGGAACGTTAATTAATGTTCATAGTTATAGATTTGACGCAATATTAAAGATACATTATGTGTACTAAAAACCTATCGTATTTTTTATCGGGATCAGTGGTTAGAGGTTTTGGCAGAGGTTCTAAAGCTTTGGGAATACCTACGGGTAAGATTATATGTCTTAATTTTTATTTAATGAATTCTGAAATTTTAAAATTAGAAGAAGTTATAAATTTAAAATTGTTTAAAGATAATCTAGAATTGTACTTATATGTAACTAGAAAGTATAATTTTATTCTTTACATGCTAATTGGCGCGAATATATGAAATATATTAGAAAAGTTTTAATATTAATCATTAAACAATATAATTAATTTTTATAAAAATATATTGCAAATTAAAATTAATTCATAAAATCAATAAAATATAAATTTACAAAAAAATTATATTATAATTAAAATATATGTAAAATGTAAGATTGATAATTATATATAAAAAATATAACTTTTAAATAATATAATTTTTTAATATATATAAATAATTATGAAATTATTTTTTTTTATAGCAAATCTTGAAGATAACGTAGTAGAAAATTTACCTAATGATTTTAATCCTGGAATTTATTATGGATGGGCTTCTATAGATGGACAAATTTATAAAATGGTTGCCAGTATTGGTTGGAATCCATTTTATAAAAATAAAAAAAAGACTGTGGTATGAATTATAAAATATTCAATATTTAATAACATAAAAATTTTAAATTATTTTTCAGTAATTCATTATTATAGGAACTACATCTAATACATACATTTGAAAATGATTTCTATGGAAAACAAATTAAAGCCATTTTTGTGGGATATATACGACCAGAAAAAAATTTTACTTCTGAAGGTATAATAATATAATAATAATTATAATAAAATTGATTTTTTTTATTATTAAATTATTTTTTTATCATTTTAGAGGAATTAATTAAAGCAATAAAAACTGATATTGCATTTGCTGAAGAACAGTTACAGAAGCCTGATATGATTGCTTATAAATATAATCAATTTCTTAAAGAATAATAAAATTATGAATATTATAAATAATACTAATTGATATTATGGTATTATATACATTTTTTGCGTATAGTTTTTTATTATATTCGAAAATAATTCATAAGAAATAATATATTGTTAATAAAAGTTTATTATAAAAAATAATGTAAATATAACTAATATAATTAATATATTATTGTAATAATTATTCAAATATAATTTGAATTCTTCTAAGAACAAGTTCATACACACATATATATATATATATATATATATATACAAATACATATATATTATTGTATATAATTTTTAATACATTCAATTATTTTTTATCTTGTATATTTTTAAAATAACATTTATGCACATAAAAATTAAGAAATAGAATATAAATAATAATTATTCCATTATTGATATTTAAGTAGTATCTGATGATGTACTTGGTGGAGGAGGAGGTGGAGGTGGTGGTAAAGATACCCATGGTATTTTCATTCGAGTAGGAACTTGTGGAACTTGTGATAACCAGGGTATATTTGTTGATTGGAATCTTACATTTGTAAAAGAATTTGGATGATTTTGTAATGTTAAGTATCCTGGAGAAATTCTTGGACATGTAGTAAAAGGAATTCTAGGATTTAAATATGTTGTACTATTATCTTCACTATAATAATTATGTGAACTATATAAATTTTGATTAGCATTGCCAACATTATGATTTATATATTGCATAGGTTGTATTGAATATGCTCCATATCCATATGATTCACTATTATTTTGATAAGTTTGTGACCATAAAGTTTGAGATTGATTTTCAAAAAAAAATTGTCTATTTGTTCGTGTATAAAATTCTTTTTTTTGCCTTTGTACATTTCTATTCCATGGATGATTTGATTGCCAACCAGTATTAGGTTCTAAGGAAAAACAAATATTATTATAAATTATTTTATATCAATATTAATTTAATATCAATATTACTAAATATTGATATTAAACAAAAAACTTACTTGAAATACGTTTTCGTTTAGATGGAATATCTGATTGATTAGTATTATTTACTTGTTTTGCTTTTAATTGTTCATAATAAGCTCGTTCTTCCTCATCATCTGAAAATTCTGGAGGATCATCTGCATTTGCATCAATACCTTTAATTCTATGATAATTATAAATTATTTAATACATAAAGTTTGCTATAAATTAATTTTATATAGATTATTTATGTATTTAGACTTACTTCAATAATTCATGAAGAAATACCAAGGAAGTATATTCTGTATTTGGACAATAATAAACAGTCATTCTCTCTTTAATGTCACATTCTTTTATATGTTTAGAGCTATTAAAACGTACACAATAATGAGGTTCATTCACTTTTCCAAAGACATCAAATATTTTACCTAATGCTCTTTGTCCTTTTTCAACAAATAAAACTGTATCTAAGTTTAATGTTGGTTTACCAGGTTTTGGTTTCACAACTACCAACTGTTCTACCATCCAAGCAACCTTGAATTTTAATTCAATCTATTATATTATTTTAAATTTAACAATACTTATAAATTAATTTAAGATTCATAAATACTTCTCCTAATGGATCGCATAATACTTCAGGTACACTAATTTTTAAATCTTCAATAGGAGGTAAATCATCTAATTCATTTTTTATTTCATTATTTTTTTGTTTTTTTATATTATTTCTCATGCTTTTCCTAAAAATATAAAAAATTATTTTAAAATTTAATATGTATAAAGCTTATGATATAAACTTACTTGCTTAAAGAATCATCACTATCCGATTCATTTGATTGAATTATTACAGAAGAATCACTGCTACTAGAATCATCTTGACTTTCACTTTCTTCATCTGATGAAGCTTCTTTATTTTGCCTATAAGTTTGTACTTGTATTTCTTTTAAAGATTTACTTTCATTATTTTCACATTTTATTTCATCAGAATTATATTCTGTTTCTGAATCAGAATTTCCATATTCTAAAGCAATACTAACAAGAGAAGATACTTTATCATTTTCTAATAAAAAAAAAATACAAAATTTAATAATTATTTGATTAAAAATTATAAATAATTTCAATTAAAATAATGAATATTTTCTATTCTTACTTTGAGTTAATGATACTGTATTCTTTTCATGTATGATATGAATATCATTATCTTCATGTTTTAATTTTTCAAATGTTATATGATCCTGTTTTTTATTAGGATCATTGGTTAATACTTCATTTCTATTAATATGTGAAGTAATTGAATTTTTTTCTTCACTAATTAGATTATTTATTTCACTATAATTTTGTTTAATTTCAATATTATTAATTATATTTATTTTAGAATTATCGGCAAATTTACTTGTCTCATTAATATTAATTTGAATATTTTCTTTATATTTTAATAAAGAGTTTTCATTATTTGAAACATAATTATTTTTGTCAGTATTTAATATGTGTTTCTTCAATTCATCGTGTAAATTCTTATTTTCTACCATTTCTTCTATTATAACCTCATCTGAATCCATTGTAATTTTTGTTATAAAATTCTCTGGTTATGATTAATTATAGTAACTTTTAAAAAGAAATTTAAATGCAATAAACATACAAAACATGTATTCTTTTTTTTTATAGAATTTCATAAGTTTTATACAAACACATTCATTATCAACCGCATATTACTATCCATGATCACATAATCACATCTTCACACTTATATATAGAATATTAATATATTTATAGATTCGTAATATATATTTGAAAGATTGATTTTAAAAATCAAAATAAATTAAATATAAAAATATTAATTAGATTTCTCTATTAAATTATAATTTAAATTTTTGTTAAATGAAAATGAAATAGAACGAAACAAATGGGTAGTGGGGATAGAAACATCTTGCTCTATCTTCGTCTAATGCAAATTTAAATTGCTTTTTATATTTTAATAAATTAATTTCAATTGATATTTTTTACCAATTTTTGTATTTTGGAATCAATCTCTAAGGATTTTTCACAAATATAATAATATTCTATATAAAAAAATTGAATAAGATAAAAAAAAAAAATAA